GGTTTATCCTGCTGGGTGCTGACAGGAGCCTTTAGCAGCCGTTCTGGGGCAGAACTGGAGATAAAAACCCACGAGTGTATGTTTAGAGAGCCTCTAATTTCTCTTTGGCAGTGGAGGAGACCTTGTTGCATGCCGTGTCCCACATGCACTGCAGTTCCTTTCGGAAAGAAGAGGGAGCATCTGGGCAGGGAGAGGTTGCGATACGCTCTAGCAGAGCCCCAGGGAAGAGCCTGGGGCAGAGCTGCGGCAGGGCACGCAGCAGCCTGGCACATACGGACCGTGTCACTGCCGGCTGCTTGCCTGGGGCTCTGCCTGCCGCCCTGCTAATGCCCCGAGCTCCGTTCAGCTGAATCCAGATGCAGCTGCTCGTACCTTGCAAATACGCGCTGGCGGGTTCCTGGGATGAAATGGAGATGTCCTAGGTGTAAAAGCACCGTCTGCAGGTTTGAGTGCCTGTCTGGCTTTGCGCTGAAGTGGCTTATGTTGAGCAGTACTTTCCTTTCTGTCCCTCAATAAGCTTCTCTTACCGCTGGTGAGCAGGATTTATGTGGCCATTTGAGCAGCTGGCCTCCTGGGAGCGTTCCTTTCTCTGGAGAATTGCATATAATCTGGCCATCAGCTCTGCGTAGAGCTAATGACACACGGCCCCGGCTGCCGGGCACGCGGAGGGTAGCCCCTTGCTGACGGCCGAGGATAGAAACCCCTCCTGTGCAGAGGGCACCGAGCCTGCCGGGTTCCTGGTGGTTAAAATTTGAAGGTGGAAGAGGTTAGGACGCTGAAAGGCTCTGGTAAATAGATGCCACTCTAAAGATTTTTGTATCTCATCCAAAATTTTTAAGAAACCAGTTTTGAGTTGAACTTTCATTTGGTTTTGATAATTTAACTTCTGAAGACTGAGTGTCCTTTGTTTCTACATACGAAGGAATATTTATTGTGTGCAATCGGCAGTGGAGTTTGCTGGGTTCCCAGCAGAGATTTTCTATAGGAAACTGTTAAATAAAAGCTGTTTGCTTGTCTCTGTAGTATTGTGTTAGAGCTGGTGACAGATGCTTCGGAGCTTTCTGGATCCAAGTATGCATTGTGGGGGCATGGGTGCTTCAGTTGTTTTCGTTGGTTGTTTAAATGAATTCTCTTCCCTGGAAGAACTAGTGTTTGTTCAGGTTAATGAATGGGAACCTATGGCATCCATAAGGAAACGTTCCCTGGGAGTACAGCAGTAGGGGAGGGGGCTAGGAAAGGTGTGCTAGCGGGGCAGGTTGCTGATACCAGGGGGAAGTGCAGAGGAAATGGCCCGGGGAGCTCCTGCAGCTGGAAGCAGAGAGCTTGGGTGCGTGCCTGCTGTTTGCAGAGGCCGGCAGGGAGAGGGAAATGCAGGAGATGGAGCGCTCTGAATGCGAGGAGCAGGCATAACGTTAGTCATTATCGCATTTCCCAGCGCTGGCCCAGAACAGCTTTTATTTGGTATGTAAGCATATTCTGTTGGAGGGTTTGGGGTTTTTTTTTTTAAAGTTATCAGAAGAATAGATATTTTGAACTACTGAAAACAGCGTAATGCTGTCTATGTAAGTTGGAATTGTTGGGAGTGTTGAGTTTATTTCTCCTGATCAATTTCATAAGTTGTTGTATGAACAACTTGGAAATCTGCTACACAACTTCGGGGGAAATTCTTCCCCTTTTTCCTTCATGTATGCAATGGTGTTTCTAGTGTGGCTCACAATGAGAGAGACTTAGATTTAGGTTGATGCAATAAGGGGTTTTTGAACCCAGAACTAGAGACATAAAGGTCAAATAGCTACATTATTTCTTTGTTTTAAAAACCTCTTTGTTTTTTTTTTTTTCCCCAGAAGTGTTAATAAAGTGTTTGTGAAAAAGGCCCAGTAAAAGATACGTTTCTAAGATCATAATTTCATTGTTTTAAAAACAAAAATAAATGACTTCCAAAGCTGTCTGTGAGACTGTGTTTTTAAAGTAAGCTGGTGTAGGCAATGATCGCTGAGACTTTTAGTCAGGGGTTTGTATACCCTGTGCTGCTCTATTTCAGTCCTGCTCAATGAAAATACAATGGTTTGACTCCGGTGGGGTATGTACCTGCTCTTCAGAATGAAATCTCAGAGAAGGCGTAGGGAGGCCAGGGGACAAGAAGCCAGGATGAGTGTGGCTGTGCTTTCGGCTGCCCCGGTTCTGCAGCGTTCCCCTCCGCAGGCTGGCTTTGACCTTGTGCCGGGGAAGGGGCGGGTGCTCGCCCTTGGCCAGGAGCCTGTTGGCTTGTGATTGCCATGGAGCAGCAGCTGCTGAGCTGTGGCTCTCGGTTTGTTCACAGTTCATGAACTTTGGCAAAGTTTACCTGAGCTGGGTTAAGTAAGGATTTCTGCTTCAGCCGCCGCCCTGTCTTGCTGAACTTGGTAAAACATTGCAAGGATGCGCTTCAGTTTGTTTTATTGAAAGCTGGTATCTCTGCGGACGCGTAAGCCGGCTTGTTGGAAGATGCTAATTTGTTCTTGGATTTTGGAGCATATTGTGTTCCCAGAACAGGCACTTGCAAGGGCTTCGTACTCTTGTTTGAAGTGACTCCTTTGCTGGTGCGCAAGGTGTGTGAGGCTGCTTCAAGGCTGCCACCTTTTTGCAGTCTGAAAGATGAGCTGTTATTCTAGCGACGTGAAGAAACCTTATGGTAGAAGTGTGTAGTACGCTGCGTGCTCGGATGGTGCGTATGTATTCACCGTCACCATATGCTTTGTGCAGCTATAGGCGATATGTGAGCTGATGTTGATTGTCTTGGTTCTTTTATTTTGCGGGAGGTGATGAATGTGGTGATGGCAGCGCAGGTTTTCCAGCTGCACATATAAATTCTTGTGCAGTACTGAATTTCCTATTGCGTTGACTTCATGAGTACCCGGAGGCATTTTTTGGGTACATAGCAGTGATATTACAGAAGGTTCTCTTAGCAGATTTAAGGTGGTAGGGTTCAGCTGATGGTTGGTTTTTAGTTTTTAATTTGAGGGAGGGCTGCTAGCCTGCAGGACAGGGTCTGATTCGGAGGCACTCCGGTCCCATGATAGGACATTTCTCACATTGCTCATAGCCTGGCATGCAAGACTTGTGCCAGAGTGAGGGGAGAGGGACTCTGAAGGCGACAGGGCTGTGTCCCTGGCTGTCCCCTGAGCTGGCTGTGCAGCACTGGGCTGCTGTGGCAGAACGCTGACGGGTCCCCCCGCACGCAGCCTTCCTCCCTGGGGACTCGCATTCCTCCTACAGTGGTGGCCGGTGTGCTTCACACACAGCTCTGTGCTGGCGCTGCTGCGGCTGCTTGCTCTTGGCAGCAGGGTCTGAGGCACCTGGCGCGATGCTTACTCTCTGTTTCCACGGAGGTGCTGTAGCTTTTGAGGCCAAGCCTCCGCGGTAACTTCCCTTTGAGAAATTTCCCTTGCTGTGGTGTTTTCTGTCTGTTGCCTTTCCCTTTTGCTCCTCCCTGTCACGGTATAATGGAAAGATGAAGTTGGGTCTTTTTGAGATGGAAAATGTGATGCTCTGCATGCACAGCGAGAAAGGTTGTTGTGGTGGGAATCTCCAACAGCACACATGCTGCTCTTCAGAAAAACTTGTGGGAAGCTGCAAGTCTTGACCTTCTGTACAAAATGACTTGCATATAGTACATCCATACAATGTCTGTACATCAAATGTTTTCATACAATAATTGCGTGTGGAATTTCCACCCACACTGAGCGTGCTGCAAGCAAAGAGCTCAGGGAATGACGTTAAGACCTATACCATCGTAAAAATGAAGTTTTCTTGTTTGGCTTGCGTCTTAAACGTCTTTGTGTTTTTTAAGAAAAAAGAACAACTCTACTAACTGGAAGAATGGATAGGAGAAAAGGCGGGACCTTGCCAGGTGACCAAGGGGAGGGCTGAGCCCCTAGCCCAGCGGAGCCTCCTCCCCTGCCCAGCCTGGAGGGCACCCGCTGTGCCTCCCTGCTCCTGGCCCCAGGCTGCTCCTGCTGCGCTGTAACTCAGCTGGTGTTGGGTGTTGGCACGGGGCTGTACGTGCTGCCAGCTTCTGCTCTGAGCCTTAATGGTGCTAAATCTCTTGTATGGAGACTGCTGGTGAGGCTGGGGCTTGGACAAAGATGTCTTCGTAACCGGAGGGCTTGGGGCGCTGGCGGGAGCCCTTCAGGCTTGATGTGTGTTGTTTCTAACGCGATGTGAGCAGCCGCGGTCCCGGGAGGATGGATTAGGTTGTGCCTGCTTAAGATTCAGGTCAGTTCTATGCAAATTTTTCATTCAGTATCCAAACACTGGGTCTTTTAAGAGCTTGCCTGACCCACATAGGGCTAGTTTTAAACCCTCTGTAGCTAGATGACAAAGTTTTGTGCTTCCTTCGAGCCACTTAATCTTACCCACTGTCTTTGGTGCCGCTTCTTGCTGAAGGACCCACTCCCTGCCTGGCAGTGCATCGCTGCTCCACCGTTCCTGGGTAGGACGAGCTTTGCTGGTATCCAGTGAGTACCGGGATCGTAACTCCTGGCTGGAAGGCAAGATGGAGTGCTCTTAGGCAAATGCCATTGTACAAACAGTTGGATGGGACGGGAGGGTGGCTAAAGGTGGTCTTGTCGAGCAGATCTGCTGTTCTGTTGTGATAGGATTTGGTGGCCATCTGGCTGATGACATGGTGTTCTTGTTCTGCTTTTGCCATAGGATTGTAAGCGCTTCTCACAAATACAAGTATTTGGAGTTTAAATGGGGTGTGTGTGTACATGTCTGCTCGTATATCTAAATAGTCTTTTGTCGTTCAGCTTTCACAGCAAATACCAGATCACTCTGGCTTGCCTCTGTCTAGACTGTGTTTAGAAATTATTAATACTGCAATGAAAATTGCTAATTAACGTATTGCTACCCTAAGTTTCAACTTGTCACAACATTGTCATTGGTTTCTACAAATGGTCTATTCAGTGTAGCCTAGATTCTAACATGGTAAAACTGCCTATTAATTTTTATCTTCTTTTCTTACAGTAAAAAATGGCATTTCAGAAGGCAGTGAAAGGAACTGCTCTCATTGGAGGAGGTGCCATAGCAACAGTTTTTGGCCTCTCTCAATTTTCTCAGTATAGAAACAAACACGTAAGTATTAATTATGATTTCTGATAAAATATGAAACTTAAAATCTGTTTGAGCGTATGTTAGGCTTATACAAATAGTTTTGTTTGGAAAGGAATGCCAAGAGCCTCGCAGCTTGATCTGGTAGGTGCTAATCTGGAGAATGGCATTAAACGATGTTTCACTACTGTAGGTCTTTAACCAGTGGGGAAGTGTGATTCTTTTTAAATCATTTTTCATGTTTAAAAAAAATGACCTTTGTGCACTTTTAGAGATTTTACTTTGTTGCAGGAGGAGTGGAAAGTACTGATTGAAGTATAAGTGCTACATAGAGTTTGGACAGTATTTTCAAACTTAGAAGCTTGAAGTGAAACCACTAGCACTACCTCTGAAAAATCTCAGCTTCACGACAGCAATGGTGGCAGCCCTTGTTCGGTACAAAAAGCTGAAAACTGTTTGAGGATATGATCTGTGCCAGAGAAGTCCACGGTGAGGCTCCTGTTGTTTCTGGCGGGCACTGGCCTCTGTCCGGGTGGGCACAACAACCCGGACCCTGGTCACCTCCAGGCACAGTTGGGTGCTGTGTCTGCCAGGTGGCTAAGGCATACAGACAGATTAAATTCCCCGAGCAGTGAAGGATGATGTTGGAGACTTACTGTTAAATAGCGGTGAGGTGCAGTAGATCCCAGTGTCAGTTTGCGTATTGATTCTTGCTGTTGTAGAAAATAGATTTCGTTGGCATATCTGCTCATCGGAGTCACCGTGCTCTTTAGCTCGCTCCTGCCTGCAGGAGACCGCAGTAAAAGGAGCAGAGTTGTGGACTGCTTTTAGAGGAGCTGTTGATCCACACCAGCTCTGCCTTTGTCTTAAAGCACATAACTGCCCATTGTTTTAGTGCAGTTGTGCTGTGCTTTAGAGTTCTGTAAAATAACCATGTCTGGGTTTAGTAGATGCGTCTGAGGGAACATGTCTTCTGATCTTGTGTTAAACCTGGGCTGCAAGGCTGACACCTCGTATTTGGCCAAAAATATTTGCAAACAGTGTTCCATAACATGGATGAAGTCAGTGTAGTCAGAGCTGTGGCCTGGTTTGCTTCAGTCTGGGTTTGGAAGAAGCTTAAGGCTAGGGAAGGAGCTCCTCCTCCTTTTGAGATGGTGTCAGTATGAGCAGCTAGGTGGGCAGGTGGTTGTTCTTCAGGGTGTTTTCTGCTTCTCACCTTAGAAATGTGATCAGTCAGCTCTTTATCTAGACAAGCCATTACACTGGGAACTGCTTTAGTTACCACACATTTACTACAAGTTGCCATTCAAATTGGGCAGACTGAAAATAGGAACAGAACTGGATCTTAATGGTCTAGCCGGAGGCAGAGCAGTGGGTGATGGGAGACAGTCTTCACCGAGTGCCCTGAAGGTGTGTGGTACGGCTGAACAAGCGATAGTCTGAATCTTCTGGCGGTTTCCATGGGGAGGAGGACTAGCAGCTGAGGTATGGGTGAAGCAAATGAGATGAGTCATTTCTGGGGAACCTAGCTGGAAAGTGGATAAACCAGGATCCTTACAGCTTCAGATACTGTTGCAGAAAATAAAACCTAGCATTTGAAGTCAGCTTCCCATTGGGCTGCCTGTCGTGCACCTAGCTGTTAGGACCGTGTCTGACCATCTAACTCTCTCTGGAGTCTTTATTGCAGGATTTCACAGCCTGGCTTCATTACTGTCAGAAATGGCAGCTTCAGATTTTAGGACTGTTAAATAAAAGGAGGAGATGGATGGGAAAAGTCATCTGGACAGCTCACGTGTCATACATGCAGTATTCCAGAATTCAAGGAATTCCCATTTTTTGGGAATGGATGGCCATTATGAATTTCCAAAGACAGATTAAAAACCCACAGTTTCACAGAAGGTGATCATGGTGTCAAAATGAAATCACTGGGTGTCCCCCAGTTTCTAAACCTCTTGTGTAGGATCAGTCTATAAAGGATCGGAAAATTTCCAGCATATGTGTAAGCAAATGGATCTGTCAAGTGAACAGCATGTTGTTTTCATGTTGTACTAACTTGCACATTTCCCACGTGATGTCCCTTAAAGCTGCTGCCTTAAACACCTAATATAGGGCAGCAGGTGGAACGTAACTGGAGGGATTGACACAAAGGAGGACAGTCCATTTGTCGTGTTGACATATCTAAGCTGTGGGCATGTCCCCCAGCCCAAGTGTCTTCTCTTTAATAATGCCTGCCAATCAAATGTATGCTAGGGCAAAGATCTTGTCGTCCTTTGCCAGAGACGGATATTGCCCTAAGATGTGCACTAATTGGCTACACATTGTAGGAAATCTGTTGTTATTTCAAGAGCAGAATCCATCACGTAATAAGACAGAAATAAAATGCTCAGTTTTTTTACCCCCATCCGTATTGCTTTGCGCAGTGCCTGGGTGTCTGTGCTGTGGTTAGCATCCTGGCGGCAGGGCACCCGGTTACAGAATGAAGACCTCGGCTGGCTAACAATCCTGCACGTGCAGACTAGGTGATCTGTCTGTCCTTCTTTTCCGCGTTCACTCAGCTGGCGTTAGATGTTCCTGTGAAACTGGGCTGTTTGAGGGAGGAGCTGAAGGGTGGGAAAGGTCTGGCTCTTGGGAACGGGTGGGAGGTCGTTTGGATTTATTAGTCGAGCATACTAGTGAGTGGTTTGTGTGCTGAAAGGGATGAGTATTGGCAGTTTCCAATGTTGAAATGTAAATTATTCCTGCTAGGTTTGAGAGTCAAAGCCCGACTGCGAGGGCAGTGGCACAGTTTGCACGGTTAGCCTTGTCTGTTCGGGACCAGCTGCAAAGGGTTTGCACCTTGGAAATCAGCCACTCCCTGGGCTCAGATCTGTCTGGTTTTCACAATTGTTATCCCAGCCTATTCTTCTATACACACACACATTTTGGGGCACGTACCTGCAGGAGCAGTTGAGGCACTGTACCCAGAGAACATGTGTGTGTGTGGCACAGGCAGGCGGAGAAGCAGTTCAGTGAATTGTTCTTATCGTGTGTTGGGTTTTTTCCTGCTGAGCAAAGGGAGGATGGGAACATGTGTTGACGTGACAGAACTGTTGCTGAATTTAAGCTGATGGGTGAATATTGCACTTCTGTGTCTTTTGTAGTATCCTGATCACTGGGATATTTACTGAATTAATAAGCTGGGTTAGCTTAATGCTCTGTGGAAGGGAGTATGCAGGAATGGCACTGATTCAAGCAAAACCTCTTTCAGTAAACACACAGGAGTGGTTCTTTCCAATTGAATAACCGTTACCTGTAAGGAAGCTGGTCAAGCTTTCTGTGCAGCCTTACTGACTGAGGCTGGTGAGGGCCAATGCATGAGCCTGGCAAGGAGCCTTTAGGTTACTCATTTCCAGAGCAAAGGAGCCGGCTGGGGAGCTCTCCACAGCAGGCAGAGCAGAGGTCTGAAGAAGCTAGTCCCTCCTGAACTGTTTTTGGGTAAAGCAAAAGTGTGTGTGGACTCTGATATTTTTTTCAGTGCTACCACTGTGATTGAATTTCATCTTAGGCAACATGGAAACTCTCACATCCATGTACGCTGCACTGACTTCTGATCACGAGCTCCTGCAAAGAAGAATTGCCTCCGAGGTGAATTGGTCCCCTCAGAGACACACGATGCCCAGGCAGTGCACATAACTGATGTGGCCTCAGATGTTCAGGTCCCTGCGTGGCGAAGGTGGTATGCCCAGCCCTCTCTAGCCGTTTCACCAGTGAGAGAGAAATGGCAATACCAGCTTCCCTTGCTTCCTGCAGATGCTGGCTGAATTGCTGCGTTCTTGCTTTTCGTGCCTTGCCATCGAGCCAAGCGGGCTGGAACTGGGTACGATGTGGGTATTTGGTGTGCTGTGGTTGAACTGGAGACCACTGGTGATTCGCCCCCGTAATCACGACGGGAAAAAGCACTGCTGTGTTTTGGAGTTGTCAGGGATTGCTGGCTTTTACCGGGCAATCTCCTCTTTCTGGTGCGTAAGGACATTGCTGGACAGTAGGAATTGCTCGTCAAGGTGAATCCGATGGGGGGTGATAGTATGATAATGCATCAGGGCCTGCTTTGGGGTTTTCTTTAATTACTACTTTTTAAAATTTATTTTTCCTAAATAAGGAAGATGAATTGGACTCTGCAAGCCTACCTGGAGGTTTACTTTAGCAAATGAACGAGAATGCTTGCTTATGGATTACTAGATCACTTTATAACTTCATGATTGAATTCCAACTGCCAAACTAAATTTCCTCTTGCGAAGAGTGTAATCAAAACCATTCAAGGAGCTCTTGCCTGAGAAATTGTAGATATAAACAGCAATTTCTTATTGCAGTAAACATACTTGTTCACTGCCAAACTAATCACGTTATTGCAGTTGGAATCCCTGTATGCAGCTTTTCTTTGCTCTTGCATTTAATTGACAGCAAGATGAATCATATCTATATCAATTCCTAGTGCGCTAATCACTTTTCTTATATTTCGGTGCTAATCTCTGTGCTCTTGGTGCACCAGCGGCTGTCTGCTTGGGACGCTGGTCTGTGTTTTACTGTAAGCCATTGCTTGTACATAATGTGTTTAAAAACAAAACAAAAAATACAGTCAGACCCAAATGGTGCTGCTTGGTGCTTCTTGAACTCTGAATTTTGTTTTTCTTGTGTCCTCTTATTTTCCTGACATTAAGCTGTGCACTTTGAAAACAGTCACTTCTTTTGCTGAAGGTGGCGTGTCTGGGAACATAGCGCAAAACTGCTTTTGAGATGAGGATTTTTCACTTTTTTAGAGTTTGGGAAAGTGGAACATATGTAGCTGAACTTGATCAACCAAACCTCATGCAAGACTAAGCCACGGGTGGTTTTGATCTTCACAGCTTCCTTCCTGTCACTGTTGTCTCCAGTCACAGGGTGATGTTTAGGGAAGCTGGAAATTGGTGTCAGCTGTCCCAAAAGCATGCTTAATGCAACAGCTTACCGAGGAAAAACCGGAGACCGCGTAGCAAGCCAGGCAGTAACCCTTGCTGTGCAACCCAGAAAGCTGCAGCATTGTCACAGTTTCCAGGTATTCAAGGGGAAAACCTTTTGTGCACTGCTCTCCTGTCCCCTCTCGGGAGGGGAGCCGTGCAGAGCCGCTGGCGGAGGTGGGCAGGGGGGTCCCAGCAGCGCCTGCAGCAGCCCAGGGGCAGGAGCATCGGCTGTACAGCCTCGGAGGAAGAAGTGCCAGAGGCAGGGGTGACTGGGTCCTCTCACTGTCTCCCTCCTTGTGTCTGTGCTCCCTGGAAAAAGGCGCTCTGGGACTCCATCAGTGTACCATAATGGGGGGATGTAAAAGTTCCTACCCTACTCCAGGGAATATAAAAGTTTTTGGCACTGCTGGAGACAGGTTGGCTGGGGAGAGAGCGGGGCAAGAGCCCAAAGTGGGTGGGGGCGTGCATAATTCATTGGTCAGGAGAATAACGCAGGTGCTGAATTTCTTTGAAGAGCCAAAACTTTCTACTCACATGGTGGTCTCTGCCAGCTGCCAGGTGTGGGTGTGTAAACACGAGAGCGCGGGGAGGCTGCGATGGGAGGCTAATCAGGATTCACCTCTCCGCTTCACTTGGGCTCCACCTCGCCGCTGTCTGTGTGTGTGTCTCGCAGCTCCCTGGGCTCCTGGGGCTGGCAGCGCGGGTGTCTCTATTTGAGGGCTGCTGTGGGTTTAAACGAGCTTCTAATTAGGAGACCTTTCATTGCTGTGCATTTGCAGTCAGTGGCGAAGCCTGGGCCGCAGTCGGTTGAGTGCCTGTGTGGCTGCTCCCGCGCCCGGGGGCGAGCCCAAGCGCCTCGCTGGGCTGGGGACTGGGGCAAACTGGGCTGGAGGTGACCTGGCAGACACCGTAAACACTGTGCTTGGGGAAAGTCAGGGTAATACAATATCTTGAGTCGTAATTTGCCAAATTTGGGTTGGTTTAAAACTTGATTTTCACTGTATTTCTCTAGTCCAACTTTCCTTATAGACTGGATTGTAACACACGTGATGGAAGTGATTGCTGCTGTGAGCTCCTTGGGTTATAGTTGGTATAATCCATGGTTACAGGATGAACCTGATCATTAATTACCTTTTGAATATGCTCTTCTTTTAGACGTGGCTACTAGTTATTAGATTTTATTTTCAGATGTATGGTAGCAATAGGAACATTGAGAAATAATGCATTTCAATCATACTGCCGAAGAAAGAGCATACAATATTGAACAAAAATATTTAGCCTGTGTGCCCTGAGTTCAGGCTTCTCGTGCATGGCTGGGTTGGCTGTTAATTTACAGTGGAAGCGTTGCAAGAATCGCTTTTACCTTTAACTCAAAGGTCTCTGCTTACAGAGCGCTATGACAACCGGTGAGTTGTTTGCTGAAGAGGAACCACACCGTTGGGGCAGCTGCTCGCAGAGAGCTGTTCAGCTGCGCGTGGGAACAGATGGTGGCAAGCGACGGGGTTACTCCGGTCAGCCAAGCTGTTTGAACATAGCCGCTGTACGTTCCCTCCTCATTGCAAGGGCCAGGGAAAGTGCTGGCGTTCCTGAAACCTGGACGTGGCTTACTGTCCCGGAGAGCTTTTGCTAACCACGGTGGTCTAGGACCGTGTGTCTGGGCAGCTCGCCGCGTGGGCTGAGTGATGGTATAGCAGCGAGGCAGGGCGAACGGTGCTGTGATGGTGGGTTTGGCTCAGGGGATGTTTCTGGGGCAGTTGTAATTCCCAGTTAACAGTGCAATAAGCAATAATGTTATAGAAATAACAACTTTCCTGGTTCGGTTTATTCAAGGAACATTTGGAAAGAAAAACTTAAATGGGAGTGCTTCCTTGCACATTGTAAGCAGTGGATGGAAAGAGATTAGACAAATTGGTTTAGATGCTAGTAAGAAAGTATTTTGTGTTTTGTCACTTGAGTTTGTGTTGGTGTGCTCTTCCTGTCTCAGAGATCTGGACACAAGCTGTTCTGCATCAGCTAGGTCTGCCGTTTGGGCTAAAGACTGCGTCATGGTCAGGCCTTACACTGTGGGGTTTAAACAGGTTTTTCTTGTGTTGAAAGTGTTTGTAATTTTCAGGAAACTCTGAAAATGTTTATTGTTAGTTTCCTGTTTGTTTGTTGTGATCTGTTCTGAATTGGTCAATGAGTTCTTCTGTCCTGCTCTCCTTCTCTGGGTAGTGCAGGCGTTTATTTGGGTTGGTGGTTGGACTTGATGATCCTTGAGGTCTTTGCCAACCTTCGTGATTCTATGAGTCTATGATTTGTTTTCACTTGTGTTGCAAATCAGTAGTGGTTAAAACAGTTCCTCTGGAAGTGCTGGGTGTTAATAAAAGCACTCCTCTCAATCGCACAAAATGGAGAGCACCCTGATGTGGTTATTTCTGAAAGAGCTGACTGAAGGGCTGTGCTCAGCTGCCCAGCTGGGATGTGCTGTGGGTGTTCTGCTGGGGGGCCGGTCCCTTGGCTGCCCTCCTTACGTTCTCACTGCAGGTGCTCTGTCTGCTAGGTACGCTTACCTACAAGGGATTACTTGGCTGTCAAAAGAAGGGTCCTTCAGGTCTTAAAAAACAGTGGTGAGAGAAATTCACTGTCTCATCTTGTGCAGAATGAGAGGCAACGGTGAAAGAGGAAGATTTGGGAGGAAAAGAGGTGGAACAAAAAGCGAAGCTGGAGCTGGAAGCGAAGAGAAAGCGAGCGTGACTTTTGTGGTCTCACACCCTATTTAACTGTCTGAATAACTGCGATACCTGCCTCTAGCCCGCTGTGTGAAATATAACGTCAGTGTGATGAACGGGAACCCACAGTGATGGTGCTCGTAACGAGGATTACGAAGTCTGTGACCAGTAATAGGGTTTGGGATGACTGTACCTGTAAAGGTTTTCAAAATTCAGTTTAAATGAACGTTAACAGAAGAGAGCCTTCAGAAACTGGTTAAAACCGTCAAATTGAAACCGTGGTCCGTATGAGCTGACCGAGCAAGCACGCCAGCCTTCCTCACCACGGCCGCTGGCTGCAGAGCAGCGCTGGCTCCTGCGGTGTCGGGCAGAGTGCTGGAGAGATTCTCAAAGCCCGTCCGGCAAAATCTGACCTTGTCTGGGAACTGCCGCATCATTAACTTTTGTCACTTTAAAGAAAAGTTCTATTTTAGCATGCTGTGGGTTATAAATTGCTTTGCTTAGAAGATTTTCAAAAAGGATATGGAAATAGTATTTCTCTGGTGCTTTAGTGCTATATTTGACTGTAAACCAGATTGTCTCACAAACCTGATCAAATTTGAGCTTAGATTCATGCTAGTAAACAATTTTAAAATGCAAAATGTACATTCATCTTTAAGTCCTTTGCTTCGATGGGTTTTTTTGATAGAGAGCTGAGATCCTACCCCTGCATCTGTTCATTAAAATATGTCCTGAGCATCCTGTAACATTTGACATAGCAGAAGACTATTCCTAGAAATAATTAATCTAGGTAGTGGCATTTGAGTACAGCATGATATTGAAGTAGGCAAGGTGAGGTAAATGTGTGCCAGCCCATTATGGTTTCAGGACCGTTTGTTCTCCATAATGTTTTAACACAATATTGTTATTAGATATAGGTACGGTGACTGGGAGGGTTTGAGTTCACCTTGATGGTTATAGAAAATGCCGTGCTGTGGTTGTGAGTGTGTCTGTACATCTGTGTGTGTGTCTACACACCATCAATGCAGATCCTCATGTGTTGTTTGGCATCTCTGTAGGGTACCTTTGTGCATGTTCAAGCTGCAGAAGGTGTGACTCTTCCAGTAAAGAACCATCTCCCCACAAGGGAAGAGCAGATTTTGGCACTGCAAACCGCAGGTGAATTTGATGTCCTCGTTATAGGCGGAGGAGCAACAGGATGTGGCTGTGCTTTAGATGCAGTCACCAGAGGTAAGGCCTTAGAGTTGGATTGCATTTGCATTTTTGGATTACATGGTTTATTATAAATGTATCTGGTTGGCTTTTCAAAAGTGCCTGAAGGTGTACTCTGAATGCCTGGTTATAGAACTGCTCTCAGAAGCTAAAATGAACTTGAAGAAAAAATGTCATTGCATTTTGTTGTTTCAGCAGAATCTTTGCTGTCTAGGTGCTTGTATGAAGTTGTCTAACAAACCTTTTTGCTGGATGCTCTGGGATGGACTGCTCATTCTCTGTTGCCCCTTACTTAGTGGGTTTGTCAGTGGTCACATTTCACTCGTTTGTGCAGGAGAGTATCTGCAGCAAAGAGGAGGCAAGACTTGCACAGCACCTCTAGAAACTATTTTGGAAGGACCAAGCATGAATTCTAGATGAGGCACAGTGGCTCTCCAGCTCCTGTTTCTTCTAACAGGAGATAAAATCATAGAATCATAGAGATAGCTACAACTTCTGCTAATGCTTTGTAGCTGCTCAGTGTGTTGCAGGTTTGGAGAAGTCTGCCTGGGTTCGCTCTGCAGGCACACGCAGCAGATCTGTGCTCTGATTTCCCCTCTGCTGGGGATTAGCTGTGTAACTGGTTTTAAAAGCTACCAGAAGATGCAGATTTGATGTTAACTTTATGTGTAGCCTTACCTTAGGGAAAACTCAAGGTAAAACGCGTTTAAGCTGATGCTTTTTACCTGCTTTCTGTAGGAGGATGGGATGCAGGTGGTGGCAGCTGGTTCTTGCCCAGTGGCTGTGCAGGTGTTGCCCAGTGGCTCCCGCAGTCGGTCAGATGTGTGCAAAGCTCTGTTCAGGTGGTGAGAAAGCAGGATGCTAATGCCTGCTCTGTGTCACCCACCTCACACAGTAACTTTGACATTGGCCAGTGAGTTCAACAGAATTGGATCATTTTCCAAGAGAGTAAGTCATTTGACAAGTTTAATGAAAATAGCTCTGCAGACACAGAGATGAGAATGCATGGGTGCTGTTCCTGCAGAGAGGCTGTAGCATCAGCTCCTGTTGGATTAAAATGCTGTATTCCCCCAGGATATCATACTTTTATCCAAAAAAGGTATGTCAGAGATTGGTGAAAAAAGCTTGTCTTAGAATGTGTTCTCTCGGTTGTTATTTTCAGTACATCAGCCAGTGAGGGAGAGAGAACCAACCTTCCTTAGTTTCTCTCTTTGTAGACCTTATTTCTGATTTTGGAACTAAAATGGGAAAAAAAGTGTAAAACACAGTAGACATCCGTAAAGTTCTTCAGGTTCTATATCTTCTGTAGATATACCTCAGAAAAAAGAGGCAAAACTGGACGCCAAGGGTGTTTTGTAGTTTGGTTTCTTGGAAAATACTTGTCCAGAAGGTGTGATAATTTTGAAATAGATAAAGCAGTAAGGTCTGCACCACTGGTAGAGCCATACAAACTCAAATCTGGTGGTTGTTATTTTCTTTCATGTGTTATTAAATATAACTTGAGATCGTTTCACTGCTGCCTCTGCTATATTGTGGTAGCAAATGCAGTTGTGAAGCATACAGATATTATGATAGTTAATCTGTGTTTATCCTTTTACTGGATATTCTGATTATATCAGTAGATTTCTGAAGTGTGAAATATTCCTAGGCATTTGGTTAATGAATTGTGTATTGTTGCTGTTCATTCATGGAACTTGCTCTTTTATTATGTTTGCTTCGCTTAACAACAAATTTTGCTTTTCATGTGTTTGATATATCTTCACCAAATTATTTCTGATTGTATCCATTAATCTTCAGTCACATTTGACAAAAATAAATTACTCTGATCTTTGGAAGTTACCAGTAATAATTAGATTTTTTTTTTTTTAAAGGACATAAAAGTTTTGGGAGACCAATAGATGTTAAAATTTATGTTCGCTAACCAATAGCATAAAGCCACCACCCCTCCGAGAGGGCAAAGGAAAGACCTGAGGGGTGGCTGCCAGTGCAGAGGGTGCTCCCCTCCTGGGCTCTGCATCCTCCTGGCGTTGCCGTTGGGTTGGGCACCCGGGTCGCTGAATTTAGGTCACTTTTTGCCTTGCCTGCCGAACTTTAAAATTCTGCCGGTGATGGAGGGGTCTGTTCTACTGACTCCTGTGACACAGACTGTCCTGTTACCTAGGTTTGGAGCGAAGGGTGGCCGTGTGCTTGTCCTGTGTGCTTCTCTTGGTTGGGTTTGGTGCTGGAAGGCGGTGGTGGGTGCCTTGTAGATACGTGCCAGAGGACGTGCGCAGGCTGTTGCCTGTATCTTATCATTAACAGACATCTGGTAATCATCTGTTTCCTGCAGCTCTTCCCGTGACATAACTGCCATCCCGTAACCCGATGGCAGTCTCCCTCCTGAAGAAGACACCAGCACTTCCCTTGCGCGAGGGGTGCGGTGTTGGTGGTGCTGGGGTGTGTGGTTCCCTGGCCATTCCCATGGGACGCAGGGTGCCTTCCCCATGGAGAGCTGCTTCCTGGCCTTCAGCATGACTGGGGACACCTCTGGCGTGACAAACGTGCCCGCCTCGCCCCAGGTGTTGGGTGGCAATGCTGGGTTATCCGCGCTTTGTTCTGGATCTGTGTGAACATCTGTGAGCCCTGTGGTTACCCCTGGCTCGCGCTGGTCAAACTGCCAGCACCTGGCAGCGTCGGCGGGTTCCGGGGAAAGCCGTTTGCTGGAATACTGAGCAATGTTTTGTGTATTAAGCCTTGTGAAGCTATTTCATGTGCATGGCAGAGTTCTTTATATGTGTGCGTCCCCTCTGGCGAGCTCTCCCTGTGCGGGGAGCGTGCCCGGGGCTGGCTCCCCTCGGGTTTGGGGCACGCTGTCAGTAAGCAGCAAGGACGCCTGTTGTCTGCCTGGCTGGTGTGCTGCTTGAATTGTTAGTGTGGTGGGTCTAGAGCTCTCTGCTGCAAAGAGTTAAAAGTATTCAAGAAAGTATTCCTGCCATGAATACGAACTGTAATTTGCTGGAGGGAGCATGGCCCCTGTAATGTACTGTAATGCCTTTCTGTTGTGAAATATCCAGGTTTTAATGTGCTTCTGTTTAAGTTCTGTTTTGACTTTTCCCTCAGGAAGGAGGCTAAAATTTTTCATTACGATATAGACAGTGCACTGCACTTTGAATACAAATTTATCCATGTACAGAGTAATTTTTCTTGTGATTGTCTCTACCCTGGAGAAGTGTCTTTAATGAATTACATACAAATTGTGTAATTTAAGAAGTTAATTTGGTTTTCTGGTAACACAGGACTAAAAACAGCCCTTGTAGAAAGAGATGATTTCTCATCAGGGACCAGCAGCAGGAGTACTAAATTGATCCACGGTGGAGTGAGATATCTTCAGAAGGCCGTCACCAAGCTGGATGTTGAGCAGGTAATTGTTTATGCTGCTTGTTAAGCAAAGATTGCTAGTAGGCACTTCCCCTGTCCCAATGAGATCCAAGTCTCCTTTTTATTTTTTCAGTACTTGACTGTTCCGTTCCACAGCCGCTGTACACGGCAAGTGTCTGCTCCCGCTGAGCTTTAGGTCGGTGCTGCTGCCTTCTGCTGAACTCCTTCGTGGGCAGTCTCGTTGCCATACCGTGCTGGCTGCCTGTGTCTTGGGGGAGGAAGGGAGGGACAGGGATGATCTCGGAATAAAAAGAGCTTCCTACCTGTCACAGCCAGAATTTGGAGGAGTGAGTGGTTGTCCTGTTTATTTTGGAATCTGGTGAACAAGTGATTATATATATAAAAGCTTTTATGTGTTCTTCTGTTGGTGGAAGTGTGATGTTTTTGTTTTGGGAAATTGATTTGTCTTCTCATTGAAACCTCTCTAACTTAGAGTATGTTTTAATGGTTATAATACTACTGCAGAAATGGTAACTTCTCAGGGAAAAAATGTATAAAACACGCAGTTACCCAGCTGTAGAAACCAACCTTCTTTTTTGCTGAAGAACAACTTCATATCGATTCAGAGAACACTTCTGTATTTGCACCTTGGAGTTAGCGTGGGGTTTAATTGTGGGAATCAGTGCAGAAGCTATACCGTGAGACCGTGGGATGAGTTCTAACCCTCCTTAAGTGCCTCCTGCCCATAGTTAGGAGTAGCGTGGCTTTATTGCACTTGGTGTTCAAATGAAAAATTATTCAGCTGGCCTGCCAAGACACCAAAATGAAACTAGTGAAACTTAATTTTCTTGCGAAACAGTTTCCTTAACTCTTTAATTTTTCAGCAAATCCTCGTGTGTTTATGAAAGAACAGTAAAAATTGCGTGAGGCATTTGCTTTGTCAAATGATTTCTTATGAAATGTCGCACATGGACACAAAATTGAGTAACGTGGGATTCACACGTATGCTTCTATTTTTCAGTACAAGACAGTGAAAGAAGCACTGGAGGAGCGTGCAAATCTGCTTGAAATTGCTCCTCACCTCTCAGCTCCTTTACCGATAATGCTACCTGTTTACAAGTAAGCTCTGCTATAATACCTCTCCTTTGCCATCGCTTTTGACAAGCAAGCTATTTCCCTGGAGAGGTTTCCAGGTGCATCTTCCCAAGCTCGTCCTTAAACCTGTCACAAGCTTTGTCCTCCAGGAGGTGAGATGTTGCTGTACTGCAGAAGCGTGAAATTCTCTTGCAGCACCGAGCAGCTCTCGCTGCTGTCTAGGAGCACATCGTGGGCTTCAGCTTTCCCATGCATTTCTGCCACCCCAGTGCGGGGAGGAGGGGAGTTAGCAGCTGAATGGACTCTCCTCTCCAGGATGTTATTTGCCGTTCTTTCCTGTACGTCCTTGTCTTGAGCACACCTTCTCGGGGTGTTCTCAGCAGTGGGCTGTTCAGTCCTCACAGCCACCAGCACTCAGTGCACTTGCCTTCTGCAGCATGTGGCACTTTGGGGTTGAGAGAAGAGTTTGCTTCTGGTATGAGAAAGAGACTCCCAGCGATCTGGGTTAGGTGTTTAGATCTGTAAGAGCAGCTACTCAGTGTGGCAAGCTACTTAAAGCAGTGAGTTTTTGGTGAATATCTTCATGTATGGCTCTATTCCTGTCTTGGCAGAAGGGGCTTGTAACAGCTGGAGCTCGCCCAGGTCAGGGCAGCTGTGTTTGGTCCTGTGTGTGCAGGAGGCGTTGGTCAGGATGTGCGTTTGGGGAACCCCTTCAGCTTGCACCTGCACCCTGCTCCTTCCCTCGACACATTGCTTTAGTGTCTCACCTTACACTGAAGTACAAGCAGCCAGTTTGTGATCCTGATTCTAGAACAGAGAAAGCCTTGAATCTGCTCGACTGACTGCAGCGAGTAGACCGGTTGCAAACAGTAGGGAACAATACAGACGTTTGTGCGTATTTACGTTGTATTGTGGTACCATGAACCTGTGTGGTGGTACAAAGTCAGAGTGGTGTGATACAACATACCATGGTACTTAACATGTTCTGTATTCCAGTAGAAGTGTGTGCATGCACTTTTAACTTTTTTTGTTTCATTTCATGGGGATTTTTTTTTTCCTGCAGATGGTGGCAGTTGCCATACTACTGGATTGGAATAAAAATATACGACATGGTGGCTGGAAGTCAGTGTCTGAAAAGCAGTTATGTTCTGAGCAAGTCGAGAGCCTTGGAGCTCTTTCCGATGCTACGCAAAGACGAGCTTGTTGCAGCTATTGTCTACTACGACGGTACGTTGCCTTTCCGTGCTTTCCTTGGTACGTTGTGCTGTGTTTTGAGGGCAGGGGAAGCACAAGCGTGCGGCTGTAGGTGTGTGCGTTGGCTTTCTGAAGGGAAGAACAGCAATGGGAGGGATTCAACTTGCATCTGGAGCTTGCACTTGGTAGGTAAGTTACATTTTTCCCGACAGTAACTTACTGGATGTAGGAGAGAATATATTAGTTTTCTTGTCTAGGAGGTATAGTGATAGGTGAAGGCATTCTGGTATTCTGGGGATGCCCCTTAGCCTTCCAGCTGTGTGGGGTTTTGCTGTGCACTCTCCGATGGAACACTTCTTCTGGGCTATCACAAGTCAGGCAAGTGCAGTCATTCCAGTAATGTTCAATGGCTCGCTGTAGCACTTCCACTGTGAAAAGAACATCAAACCTAGGTGACCTGCCTGCTGGTTGTGGTTCTTGCGCTGGGCTGGATGAGGCCGGGGTCAATTACTTTTGTATCGCCAGTAAAATCGGTTGCTCTGCAAAGACAGCATTCATCATAATTACCATCAAATACTAGAGATTGCTCTAAGACATCAGTGGTTTCTGTTAAAACCCCTTTAAATAAAGGGTTATAAATTCATGAGATGAAAATGCTTCCAGCTCATGTTAATCTATTGTATCAGCAGTTTTAGTTTGTGTGTAACACACAAAGTCAGTGTCTCAGTGGGAGAAAATAAAGATGCTTTCTGCAAGCCTCTTGATGTTTATTCAAAACAGAATGATGACTTAATGGAACTCTTTGCAGCTGTCTAGAAACAGCCATTTTCACGTTCAGAAGCATCCCCCCTTGTTTGTAATTGCAAGAAGGGATAAGCCTTTTGGCCTTGGTCTGTGGAAGAAGTCTAGTCCTAGCAGGGCTGTGCAGCAACATGTGCCGCAGTGGATCTTCTGAGCAAGGAGTTTCTTCACTCCATCTCTGTCCTTCCAGTCTCTGTAGATGCACGAGACAATCTGAAACGAAGTTGGTGAAGGTGTAGTTGGCTTCCTTGACAAATGACGACCTGGAAGCTTCCCTTGTCTGGAATTCTAGTGTTTGTGTTGATGCGCAGGTGTCTGGAGCTTTATCTCAGCACTTTCTCCTGTCATGCACCTTAAATCCCCAAACTGTCAGAACTTCTACAGACTCTAAATGCTGGGAAGCTCTTTGCTGAAGTTGGAGTGCCAGGGTATACTGCTGTAATTGCCTTCTTGATGCACTCGGTTATGTTGGCATATCTACTAGAGGGATTTATTTTTTTTCCCTTTGCATCAGACTTCCACTGTGTTTCACAATGTGTGTTGTATTGGGTTGGTCCTCCCCCTTCCCCAGTCCTCTTCCACTTCCCTTCTAAGACAGAAAGTTTTAGAAAAACTTTGGTCATGGGGCCTGCTAGGAAATCCTGAAATGTCCGGTGTGTTCAGGAGAGGGGAAGAGCCATGGACCTGCTGCAGGCTGGGAGGAGCCCTCCAGAGAGTAAATAGCTGAAATACTGATTCACTTCAGCAGTGGGGCAGTTCTCGTTCGCTTCTACCTGAAGATGTAGTTTCTGACCTTTTGGCAGCCAGAAAGGTCTCCACACCAAATAAAGGTGGTTCTTAGAACTGCATTTACACTATTCATCAGCTTATCAATAGGGGCTTTTGTGCTGGGAAGAAGCAGTGTCTCAAAACACACTGGGCTCGGTATTTATGAGGCTTCTGACAAAAGCACGTGGTCATGATTGCAAGTTGGCTCATAAAGAGCCTAGAAAAATGAAAAAAAATTACATGTATGTGTACGTTCTTATTTGGGAGTGAGATGTGAAGGATGGAATTGATTTTACCCATCTCTGAGGAGACTGCATTTTCTCTGTCTTACTTTTAATGTCTAGAGGAATTAAGAGGTTATTTAGAAGCAAAATTTGTGGTGGGATTATGTGGTATTTTTTTGTATACTGTAACAAGAGCTGCTGTAAATAGCATCCATAGAAAGAATTCAGATGTATTTTTTCATTATCATAAGCTATCCCTTAGACTGTTTTAGGGGATCCCAGGAGCACGCAGGAAGAACGAAGTGTTCTCTTAACTGGAATTACAATTCTCATAAGAGCACTGTACCTGAAATCTGTTATAATCTATTGAGGTTTTTTTCTGATTAAATTGTTTGGATTCTACAGATATACCTTTACAAGATAGCCTTAAAATTAGTCTTCAGGTTTCTTGGGTGAAGAATTGTTTTAAAGAGGGTTGTAATCAATGAGAGTTCAGCACCCAGGTGCCATGTGGTCTTCTGGTGGGAAGCGTCTGTGCAGCAAGACGGCGCAGAACTCTGACTGGCTGCGAGATGTCTCTGGTGGCTTTGTTGCCTTCCCAGGCAAGAGGAAACAAACCCACACTCCGCATCTTGGAAACAACAAGTGTCAGATAGAGAAGAAAAAAAAAAGGAAATGTACATGGTTTAGTGGAGGAAGAGGCTTGTGTAATTGCTCTGTGTGTTCGCACAGGTTTCGTAAAATCAGGTAGGCGGCAGAGACTCTCGGTGGTTCTCCTTTGGAGGAACAGCTGCAATGCTAGCAGGACTCTGAGACGAATTTGGTGAGAGAGAGAGCAAAAGCAGACCGGGAGGTGTGCTGCCAGTGGCGCTGCTTGTTCACGCCAGGGGATCTGGCCTTGGTTGCCTTTGCCTGTAAGACTGCAGCTTAGCGATCCACGGTTTATGCAGATTTTAAAGCAGTGGTGTTTTGCAGTGAAAAAATTAAGCTGTCAAAGCTTACCAAACCTCAATTTCCTAGAAGATCAAAGTGGTTCTGAAGGACTAACGTATCAAATTTGTGAGTTCATACTACAGGCTGCAATAATTTGGGGCTGCACCTAATCCAGAATAAAAACTTCCCAGCTGCGATGTTCAATCAGTTCCTAACACACCGCATTCCAGAAGTGAGTGTGCTCCGTAGTGACTCCTCTGTAGCTCACCCCATGGCCCATGCTGTAGATGGGCTCATGCTGTGTTGTAACACATTAATTATTTTATCATGATTAGTTAACTTGTGTTCTGTCCACAGTAGATCTGTTTTAAGTCCTAGTGTTTCAGCAGGCACACTTTAGATCTTGTACATTATTATGCTTGAATTTTAGTGATACACTTTCATGCCCTAAGTGGAGGAATGGAGGACAAAAGGGAAAAGAACTTAAAGTAGAGAAGGGGATGATAAGATTGAATTAAACTCTTTCTAGTTCATTCAGAAGGATTAATCATAAAACAGAGCATTAAATAATGTCAAAAAATATACATGTCATGAAGTAGGGCATATCTTTATCTTCTGTGTTCATTCCTTCTCTGTCTTACCTAAAGAACAAATAAATAAATTGGCCTTTCAAGAATGGCGTGTCTTAACTGATTCTGTATGTGCAGTTACATGTAGCTTTATCCTGGTTTTTTGTTTTTCTCTATTCCTGTCTCTGTTGTACACTCTTTGTATCTGTAGTTGTTAGTAGCACCTACTGTTGGCTGCATCTCTGGCATGTTGCTCACACCACCAAAGGGAAGAATTAAACCACTCATTCTGGAGGTTACTTTTTATTCGGTGAAACTGCCTGTCCAGTTGTGACTTAGAGGTGGCAATGTTCTTTTGCAAAGGCAAGATGGGGAATGCTCTGTGTTTTGTTTTGTAATTGCTGAGCAGACTGGTGGCATGTCAAATAATCCATTATTCATGAATATGTTGTGTTCTGAAATGTTGCTGTGGTCTTCTTAATTACGTTTTTTAAATTGTTTATGCAGGGAAAAAAAAAAGATACATTATAAATGTTGGAAGTACCAGCAACAGCAAATCACAGACTTTCCCAGGGGCTATTCTTGCTCTGTCTCAGCATCAGGAAACTAAAGCATATGTTGGATGTTAGCCTGGGTGTACACAATGTGTCCTAGTTATTCAAGGTTTGCTTTGAAGCCACAACTTACAAGTTTGTTTCTTAGGGGTACATGTCAGACTTCATTTAGCATTTGTTGGTATTCAGATACTCCTGAACAGCAAAAAGGCAACATTTTGGGGGAGGAACGCGGCTGCTATCTGAGCAGTGATCTGTCAGTTCCACTTACGTAGCTCAAGAAAAACGGGAGAAGAGGCACTATGGAGAGGCTGGGCTGAGATCTCAAGATCATAGGCAGAATTATTTTAAAGCACTTTAAATGGAAGAATTAATCTCCATTTAAATTGTACATAGTTCATTATGTTAAGAACTAGGAAAAACATGAGAGCAGAGATCCAGCTGGCCAGAATATTTCGGGTGAAAGTGTTTGGAAATTCCAAGTGGCACAGTGCTTTTTAAGATGCATTATTTTTCTGTCTCTAGGTGCTTGCAGACTTTTGTTAACATATTTTGCCTTGCAAGATGAGCCTTTAGGTGTGTAAGAAAAATTTGTGTTCTGGAATCCGTCATGAATTTGAGATTTTAGGGCTTTGCTGACCCTGCTCTTTGAATTTACTGCTGTCTTCTGGAAGCAGGAATTAGCATCTACTACTTCGGTGACTGTTTTGCCACATCAAGGTATTTGATTGTTTAATGTCTTGTTCTACAAATTTCCAGTATACTTACTGCGATGCAAGAAATTGTCCTTTATTTTTTGCGTTCTCAGTATTTATGTATATATTTTCTGCTGAAATATTTACTCTGGAGGTTATTAAAGGTAGAAGAAGCAGCTTTGGCAGAGGATTTAGCTTCCCTTGTTTACAGCAAACCCCAGGAGAAATCCTTCCCAGGCACACACAGACACACACACACACAAAAATCAATGCAAAAGAGTAGGACATTCATTAAGCTGTCAAAAACGGAATAAATGCTTTTTTTTATTTCGGCTCTCGTAGCTATTTTTCCTAGTATTTGAGTGTGTCCTGCATTATGAAATGTTATAGCTTTGTAATTCATGTTTGACAAATTAATATTTGGAGAATGTTGAGCTGGAATAGGGATTTTACCCTATTACAGATGCAGACAACTGTATGGCTTTATTT